ATTGAAAAGTAATAGAGGTTGAAGGCAAAGATTGAGAGAAATATAAACAGTGACCTTTTCAAGAATGGAATGCTAAGATTAAGATATGAGCTGAGAGAATATAGATTTGATTATTTCAAGCTCGGAAAAGTAGTGGGTCAAAGTCCTCCCTTTGAAGGGTTTTTAAATAATACTCTAACCAATTGTCCTTTTCAGTAACTCATTATTGTTTTTTTCTTTATTTTAATTTTATGTCCAATTAATTTATGTATGAATTTTATATTCTTTTTATATCTAGAACCCACTAAACAAAAAAACTGAAAGATTAAAGACCTTAGATATTTTTTAAAAAAAAAAATTTAGAAATTTATTAACACAAAATTAATAATTAATTAAGAGACTAAACTTATAATTTAAGATTTTTTTTTATAATTATTTTATTTTGACATCTAAAGTTTTATATATATATATATATACCTCCATTTTTAATGAAAAAAAGAGTAGATATTAAAATAAATATTTATAAAAAATTTAACACCCAAATAGAATTCAAATTTAATTTGATTTAATTTTGTCACTTGCCTTATGTTTGACCAATTTATGATAAAGTATTCTTCTTTCCTTTTTTTAAATAATATGTATATTTTTTATTTTAGTCATAAATAATGATCTTATAAATTCCTTCTCTTAATTAATATGGGTGTAAGAAGCAAGTATTGCCAGGATTTTTATTTTAGAACAAGCTAATTGTCATATTTTAAAGTAAAGTAATTAAATTTATATATATATAATTTTTTAGTACAATAAATTTAAAATTTCGAAAAAAAAAAGTGCATATCGTGCTACATATAATGAAATGGAAGAATAATTTTATAAACTTTAAATTGTAAGTATTCATTTTTATTTATTTTTTGTTTGGTTAAATCATTTATATTTATTTCATATAGCAGAAATTATTTTTAAAAAAATACTTTAGATTTAAAAATGTAATTTTCTCAAGATTAATAAGAAATGAAAAATAATCGGTCAAAAGCTCATCTCACTCTTTATTTTGGAAGGTCAATTTGGAGAAGACTAATTTGGCAGCTAATGAAGAAGAAATTATTCAGCATCCAATCCAGTGAGTATTTACTATATAATTATTAAATGTTATGAAATATATATATTACAAAATATATATTTCAACGTAGAGTTTAAGTCGATAACTACATCTTGAACCTTAGGTTTACTATTATATATATATATTTATTATTTTTTTAATAGAAAATTTGGCAACCTTGTATTTTGTATTAAAAAAAATTGTTCAAAATATAATATTTTAAATAAATACACATCAGTTTGTACATTTAAAAATATATTTTTAAGACATAAATTAAATAATGTGAGGTTTTGACTAGTTGATTTGATCATGAACCCGAAGAAGGTTCACCAATTTGGTCAAAATGTGAACTAAGCCCAAATTTAATTCATTGGGCTCAAGGCCCACAAGGCCCTGAAAAACTCTATAAACAATGGAGTTCTTCTCCCTTTTAAATATCAATAAATTCAAACCTACTTTAACAACATTTCTCTTTTAAAGAAAGTTTTTAACAGAGTATCAAACTTTGTTAAAATTATTCGATAAATTTAGTCTAAGTAAACAAAAGGTCAAAATTTAGCTCTTTTTTTCTTTTTTTTTAATTATTATTTATCCAAAATTTATCCGTTTCAGGGAAAGGCAAAGGGCAAAGGGAGAATCCATTGATAAAGGAGTATAAAAATAAGACCATTCCTTCCATTTCACATTGTAACTTTGTTCTTCAAGAAACTGGAAACTGCTATGGCTTCACAAGCTTCCTCAGGTATTTATAAACTGCCATCCTCTTTAATTTCCTGAATCCTATGCCATTGATAGGCTTTAGTCTAAGTTTCTTGTTGGATTTTGGAGTTCTTCGACGTTTAGGGTTAGACCTATTTGAAATGACTGTGTGTTCTGAAAAGCGTTTTAACGGCAAAAAGAGTGTTTCTAAGCACTTGAAAAGTATTAGAAAGAACCCTTTATCTTATTTTTTACTTATAGATTTCGTTAATTTTGGAAATTGTATAGATAAACCCGCCACAGTGCCTCAAGAAAAGAAAGTGATTGTAAACGGGAAGTCTGGTGGAAAGCTTGTGGGAATACTACATGAAGCTGGATCACTTCACATTGTTATCCTCTGTCATGGATATATGTCAACAAAGGTCTGGCTCTCTTGTGCATTCATGTCAAAATTGTTTTTCTATACTTTGTTTCGATGTCCCTTTGATGTTGTTAAAACTCATTAATTGTTTATGTTAAAAGTGCTTCCTTCTTGATCCTGTCAGCTAAAAACATTCTACATGCGTTTCCTCACACAACACTTGTATAGTGTTCTTGAACGTGAAAATATTAGGTTGGAGTTGGATTTTAATCCTAAATCATTCCCAAACATGGCCTTACTTGACGTGAGACTTCACATCGGTTGGAGAGGGGAACGAGACAATGTTATAGGGGTGAGATCGAAACATCTCCCTAGTAGACGCGTTTTAAAACGTTGAGGGGAAACCCAGAAGGGAAAGCTTAAAAAGGACAATATTTGCTGGAGGTGGGTTTGGGGTTGTTACAGTCAGCAAGGATGTTGGGCCCCAAGGGGGTGGATTCTGAGATCTCACGTCAGTTGGAGAGGGGAATGAAGCATTCTTTATAAGGGTGTGGAAACCTCTTTCTAGCAGACACGTTTTAAAATCTTGATTGGAAACCCAGAAGGGAAAACCCAAAGAGGACAATATTTGCTAGCGGTGAGATTGGGCTATTACATTCAGCAAGGACATTGGGCCCTTAAGGGGGTGAATTGTGCGATCCAACAACAGTTGGAGAAGAGAACAAAACATTCTTTATAAGGGTGTGGAAACCTCTCCCTAGCAGATGCATTTTAAAACCTTGAGAGAAAACCCTTAGAGGACAATATATGCTAGCGGTGAGCTTCGCTATTATAGTCAGCGAGGACATTGAACCTCCAAGGGGGGTGGATTGGGAGATCCCACATCAGTTAGAGAGGGGAACGAAACATTCTTTACAAGAGTGTGAAAACCTCTCACTAGTAGACACATTTTAAAACCTTGAGAGGAACCTCGAAAGTGTAAGTTCAAAGAGGACAATATCTCCTAGCAGTGGGCTTAGGGTCCAAGTCGGAGACAAACATTAATCATTAGAGTTTGTGGCTTTGTTGTTTTCAGGATGATGAAGTTGTGTTGAACCTTGCTGCAGCATTTGATAGAGAAGGAATCAGTTCCTTTCGTTTCGACTTTTCTGGTAATGGGTATGCTTTGTGGAAATTGGTTAGAAACTTGTGTAGAATTTGAACTTGTTTGGTTCCTAACTGGCTCAATCTTTGATTACTTAAACCATCAGAGAAAGTGATGGCTCATTTCAGCTTGGTAACTACGAGGGTGAGGCTGATGAACTGCATGCCATTGTACAATATTTCAACGAAGCAAATCGTTCAGTTTGTGCAATCATTGGGCATAGCAAAGGTCTCCCCTGACCTGACCCCCACAAAGGCTCTTCTTTTTTCCATTTGAATATTTCAGATCTTTACTTTGTGAGTTTCAGGAGCTGATGTCGTGCTGGTTTATGCGTCCAAGTATAAGGATGTCGGTATCGTTGTCAATGTTTCTGGACGTTTTGATTTGACAACAGGCATCGAGAAAAGCTTGGGAGAAAATTATGAACAAGGGATGGATAAGGAAGGATTTGTTGATGTTAAGGATTCAACAGGTTTGTGTGTTAAAATGGTTGTTAGTTTGATTAGCTGCCACAAATGTTTTTAATTTGAAACATTGATATCATGTTTGTCTGTTGTAAATTTAAAAGATAACTTGTTTTTTCTTAGGCACGTATTATCGAGTGACAGCAGAAAGTTTGATGGAGCGTCTAAATACTGATATGAGCCAACAGTGTCTTCAAATCGATAAAGAATGCAGGTAAGTTTAATCCATAAATTTTTAAGCTTGTGTCGATTGTGTAATTTTATAATTTTTAACGTATTTGATTTAATTCTTGCTTGCCTTTTCTAGTCTATTGAGTTCGTTTCAACGTTACATGGACTATTGGGTTCGTATAGTCATTTTTTATGCCGCTATTGAAATAGCTTTTATGGCTATATTTTCGGCTACTCCACTCCTTTCATAAACCTAGTTTCACAACAGCTACCCAATATTTGGGGGTCTCTATGGGTCTTTAGTGTAATGGGTTTGTCTAAAAATATACATACCCATATTTTTTCGTGCATCCTTTTGTTTTGTAAAGAAATCTTAGGATCATTATTTAACTTGAAATTCACTACAGATATATAGGATATATGTCTTTATGATCATCAGCCAATCATATTTGTTTTTCCTTGCCACCATATCAATTATATCATGTAGAAATGCATAATTCTCATGTTGAAGGAGAAAAATAGCTTAACTAGTGATGAACTTATGATGTTTGTACAGAGTGTTGACAGTCCATGGAACTGAAGATGCAGTAATTCCAGTCGACGACGCTCGAGAGTTCGATAAGATCATTTCTAATCATAAATTACACATTTTAGAAGGAGCTGATCACAACTACACAGCAGAATCACATCAAGTAGAGCTAGCCACAGTGATTTTGAACTTCATCAAGACTAACCTTCAGCAGGACAAAGAGACAGATAAGGTAAACTCTACCGATAAGCCATTGACTTGTAAAAGCTCATCAGCCCCTCATCTTCTGCAGACAGATGAAGTGATACATCATACTCAAGATCTTCCACACCCACATGACGGCTGATCTATGATGCTTTGGGTTTAATGATGCTACTAGTTTTTTATGAAATAAATGCAATGAGCATAACTTTAGTATGAATCATATTTCAACAAGCAAATGTTCTTCACCTTTTAACTCCATGGTGTTTGTTCTTGAGTTCCAAATCTGATCTCCTAATATAGACGAAGTAATAATAATAAATAAATAAATAAATAAATCAATAAACCTCCCATCATAGGCATGAATATAGTAATAAATCCAATACAGAGGTCCATTTGTTGTTCAAGGTTAATAACCATTATATATGTAGGGTATAACAAATGATAACCAAAGGGTTAAGCCGATCACATTTGTTAGTTCAACTTGCTCATGTGATAGCATGAAACTAACCAAATCAACAAATAGTTGAGTTATTATTATTTAATGTTAAACTAAAGAAAACTGTACCAAGAACTGCATGTTAACTGAAGCAATTAAATCTATATTTTTATTGGTTTTCTTGGTTTTAATTTGATAAGGGTAGATTTTGAGATCTCATATCGATTAGAGAGAGGAATGAGTGTCAGTGAAGATGTTGGCCCCAAAGGGAGGTGGATTGTGAGTTCCACATCGATGGTAGAGAGGAACTAGTGTCAGGGAGGACCTTGAGCCCTAGACTGTGAGATCCCATATTGGATGGGGAGGAGAAAGCTGTGGAAACTTCTCCCTAGCATACGCGTTCTAAAAATCTTGAGGGAAAGTCCGAAAGGAAAAACCTAAAAAAAAAAACAATATCTACTAGTAGTGGGCTTGGACGGTTACACCCTCATCCCATTCAATCTTTTAAGCAAACTTAAACTAACAGATGCATGTTAACCCGAAGCAATTAGACCAAACGTAACACTGTTTTAAATTTATTTTTCTATATTATCACAGACCGAATAACTATTTCTATCTATATGGCAGGAGATAGAGGTGAAAATAAGTTTATCTAAATTGCTAGAGAAAAAGAAATTATGATATTGATGTGGCCAAAGCAGTCGCACATGCTTATCTCCTGTAATACTAAAGATGATCTTAACAATATCTGGATCTACTAATAACGTTAGGATGTGTTCGTACCTTTGTCTTGAAATAATGTTCGTTTGCTCCAAAATGAAAGGAAATTTGTACTTCCCTGCTGCAAACCAAAAGTGCCATTCTCATAATGACTAGTTGCCCGATTTCAAAGCAACTTCACATGACAACACTTCAGTGTTTCTACCAGAAAAGAATGTCAATCTTTCAAGAGCCATTTCCCATTTCTCCGTTCTTCCTGAATTCATAAGTAACACAAATGAGAGAGAAAGAGCATAGTGATCATTCTAAGTAACATAAATCACCACATTGCTGAAATTAAAGAATTCACGGTCGTACCAGCTCAACCTTCAGCAGCTCAATTTTTTCCTCCAAATCTAAAATATGGTGCTTCAGTGCCTAGCAAAGAAAAGGTAGTAGTACATATAAGGCAACAGTTTAGATAGTCCTAGAGAACATGCAAGTTCAGTATTAACTTATAAAGGTTACCTCACGTCTCTGTAGTTCGATTGATCGAGCCAATGCCTGTCTTCTTGTCAACATGTTTTTAGGCCTCAGTGCATCAGGGCGGGTATAATTTTTCCCACGATAGACGATAACCGCATAGCCTTTAGTAGTTTTATCCAAAGAAACCACCACTCCATCGCTCTCTGCTTCCAGAGAGATTGCTATATGCTTGACTTGTTGTAGAGTTTTTCCTCTCACAATTATCTTTACTAACTCTCTAAACTTCCAATGCAAGTGCATGTTCTCAATGGTTCCATCGTAAACACCACGCCTCCCTAAAAGGATGATCGATCGGTTACATTTGAAAATCTTTCCACATGGAAAAGTGGATATTTAGAACTGGGAAGGAACTTTTTTTTTTACCTAAGAGCAGATATGGTTTCATACTCAGACCGATCTTACGGAATAGAAGTCGTTCCTCATCAGTTATGGTCTCCAAATCAGTGGGAAGCTCTGCTGGTTCTTTCTTCCCCTGCAATTTTGCTATAATCTTCTCAGCTTTTGTTACCTTCCCTTTTGCCTGTAAGCACCATTGACACACACTTAAAGATACATGTCAAGCCGAAATTTTAGCATCACAATTCGTTCACCTCTAGAAGTCATTTAGTGCATTATGTTACTTACAAGAGCTAGTTTCTTCTTGAGGTCTTCAATTAGAGATTCAAGTTTTGCTAAAGCTGAATCTTCTCTCATAGTCTCAATATCTTGACCACTTTGTTGGCTTCCCCAACGAGAAGTTGCTGCAATGGTTTCTGCAAGTGTACCAGCAACCAATGGAGCATCTGAAGCTTTCACTTTTGACTCAACTGAAGTTGAAGCCATCTGTCGTGCCTTCTCTTCGACATCTTGCTGAAGATCTGCTAGCTTCCGCCTTTCTTTCAATGCATCTGTGATTGTGGGTGGCAGGTAATCGTTGCCCCTATAGAAAACAATATACTCCTTGTTTCTAGAGAGTAGCGTTCCTCCTGTCAATATCTGCATGCATGAATTATAACCTGTTTAGTAGCTATTCAAACTTTTTAGTTCACAAGTTCATAGACCTGTTTAGTAGCAAGGTTTCAAAATGAATCAGATGAATGTTAGTATAGTTAGAAAGCTATGAACAAAACAATGTACACAATTCAAGTTCTTAGAGCAGGTAGATCCAAAATAAAAAGGCTAAGACCGTATCAAGCTTTCCAAAATTTGCACAAAAACAAGTTTGACTTATCAAGAACATAGAAACATGAAGATAAATATAAATGATGCATCTCTGACAGCTATATATCCATTTAATACAGATGACTGCAGTTCATCAAAGTAAACCTTCATGATTATAGAATGCCCAAAACGCCTAAAAATTACAAGATTTTAGCAATAACTCACCTGGATAAACATTCCGAACTTTTCTAGAAAAGAATTGAGCTACAAACATGTGCAAGTACACTGATATTTGCATATAGTCTTCACAATGTTTCAATTCAACAAGCATAGATTATTATGCCTTACCCTGAGTTCTTCTGCCATTCTCTCATTACGTGTATTTTCTACACCTCGTTTTATAGCAATCTTTGCAATTGCACATTTTCCCCATAGCTTTATCATAGCATTGGCCAAACCTTGCAGTTGTCTATTCCTTCCTGTAAGAATCAAATAAAAAATTTAAACAAGGACATTATGACCTACAATACGTGCATACTTGCATACAATCATACGAATGTACCTAAAGCAAAATGTGGAGGCATTTTTCTTGCAAGTCTACGAAAAGCAGTCACCTCCTTGTCCTTGAGACAATGTCTTACCCCATAAGGCAGAATTCTAGTTGGAGGTTTGTATCCCGGAACTATACCAGGAAGCAGGTCTGCATCAACAGGCAATGGCTCACAGCCTGACCAATCCTTAAAACGCGGACCTATCTCGTCTAACAAAAGGTTCAGATCACTCAACTCCGCGAGTTCCTTTTCAGATAACGTCTTGGTATGCTTCAAAGCACCGGAAACAATTGTACTCGTAGTTCTGACCGTGTTAGCATCATATTCTACATTATTTGAACCATCCAATCTACAACTTTTAGCTTGATTTTGTTTGGCATAAGATTGAACACAAGGCAGGTGGTATGTCATTCCCCTATACAATACTATCATACTACCCGACCTCCATACGACCAATCCGCCCGTTCTATTCTGATACAAGAAAACATTCCTATGTGAGGCACCCACACATTTAGTCATTCAAATCTAAGGCAACAAGATACTGAACTTACTGCAAGAATCGATAAGCTATAGAACTACAACAACAATGATTTGAGTTTTAAAATTAATATTTAGAATCTGACCTCTAATGTCTCGTGTGCCCTCTTCATGTTGACAGTAAGAGGCCCTTCAAATTTCAACTTGACAACTTCATCTACCTTCCACTTCTCATGAATGGTATCCACCAGTTCTTGAGTTATACCTGCGACCCCCACTTCAATTCTTTCCAGCATTCTCAAAGAAATGTTCCTGAGCCTCCGCAATTCGTGCTCAGGAAGCGTTTTCTCAGCCAATAATGTTTTGCTGCTTCTCTGATCAACTTCTTCAGAATCCCTACGCGGCTCTCTCTTCCATGGCAAATCAACTGGACCATTGCTATCATTATCAGAACTCACAGAACGTACAAATTTTTTGCTCAACGGTGAACGTTTTTCAGTAATCGGCAGAACGTTCAGATCTACAGGATTAATTTCCTCCTCGTCTTCCGAAAATTCCACTGAAATTTCATCAATACGTTCACTAATTTCTCCATTCGATTTTCCACCAGGAGAAGCAATATCGTCAAAACTTCTCGTAATTGCGTAGCGATTACTTGAATCATCAGCAAAATCCTCGGATATCTCATTAAACACTTTTTCTGGCGTTTTAGGTTCGAAATCGAACTGCGAATTTCTGGATTTGCTACCGTGAGCCCAAGGGGCCGAAATTGGGCGACTTATAGGAACCGCTTGAGTTACATTAGTCGTTGAGTCGCGAATTGAAACAGAATCTTCATAGCCAATCCGTTCTTCCTCTTCCTCCTCCTCCTTCTGCTCTCTATCTTGTTCTTGCTGTTGCCAGGGGAACTTATCTCTTGAGGAAGTCGGTTTTGTCGACCACTTATGGCGAATTTGCTCGAGGAAGCTAGGCCTGGGCTTCCGCTTCTTCTTTACTTCGAAATCCACTCGGATTCGACGAGGTGGTTGGGTTTCAACTTCGATTGCGTTGTTAGAACAACGAATTTTGAATCGAAGAGGTGCGACGAGGATTGAAGACGGGCTTTCAGAATGGCGAAGAAAAAAGCAGAACGATGGCGATGAAGAATGCAGAAAAAAAGAAGAAGAAGGATTGGTTAAAAATGGCGAGAGCGCCATGGCGACAGGAAGCTGAAGCCGAATTGCGTCACTTCTCGCCCAAATTATCGATTGAAAAATGGATTTTTTTTTTCCTTTTTAAATATTTTAATTTAAAAAAAAAAATTACTTAAAAAAATATTTTTTTTTTCTCGTTAATATTTTATTTTAAAATTATTATTTAGCTTTTAAAAATTTTAAAATATATACTAATTTTTAAAATATCCTCCTTAATACTCCTAAATATTTTTGAACTCTCATAAATAATATTAAAAAATTTATAGATAATTTATAAGGTATATATAAATGATTTTTATTTATTTATTTATTTTGAAATATTTTTGAACTCTTATAAATAATATTAAAAAATTTATAGGTAATTTATGAGGTATACATAAATGGTTTTTATTTATTTTTGTAAAAATAAAAGAGGTTAATGTTATTTTAAACTTTTTATTTTTCAAACCTAATACTAAATATATTTTTATACTTTTCAAAAATTAAAATATATTAATAAAAAAAATTAAAATTTACGATGTTTTAGAAATACTATTAAAACTAATAACAGTCATAAAAAAAAGTAAAAAGATTCGTTGAATATTGGTACGATATTTATGGACTAGACATGTGTGTCGGAGAATTTAATACCTTAGCTACCAACCTTATGTTTTCCCATTCCACGTCATCAAAACTCACGCATTGACCCCAAGTCAACCAAAAGTCAAGCCAAATTATTACCACCTAAAAATAAACAAATTTGAATTTCTTTTTTCAATTAAAATTACTCTTATATAAAAATAAATAATAAATAATAAATAATATTAAAATGAGATTTAAACAAAATTTCCAATTTTAACAGCTAATGGTATGTTTTAATCTGTTTTGGTAATATTATTTATTTTTTATCGTAGAAATAAACATAAATGTTAAGAATTTATATGAAAAATAGCTCTTGAAATTAAATATGCAAAAAAAAAATATATATATATATATATATATATATATTTATTTATTTATTTATTTATTTATTAATGTCCATTAAATCCAACCGACCAAGTTTATTTTCCATACTACAAATTTTAAGAGGCTCTCCCATTCTCTCCCAACTCCACCGTCAACTCTCCAGCGCCGTCGTTGCCGCCACCGCTTTACCGGCATGTGGACTTCCATAACCACTTGGTTTACTCCCTCTTCCCTTTTCATCCTCGTCAACGCCGTCATCGCCACCATCGCCATCACCTCCCGTTTCACCGCCGACAAATCCCACCATCTCCACGGCGGCCCTGTCCTCCTCCGCCCCCCTTCTTTCCTAGAAAGAGTCCGGTCCTTCAACTTCTCCCCCTACAACTACGACCACAATCCGGACCCGGTTCCGGGTCCGGGTCCGTCGATGTTGGAGCGGCTCAAATCCATAACCCTCAACAGATCCGATTCAGTTCGTGAACCGGAAACTGCACCGCCGGCGGCAGAACAGATTCCAGAGAAGACCCATCACGACCATTCCATCAGTCGGAGCAAATCCGAAACCCAAACCCAAACTCCAGCGACAAGCTTACGGCGGCGGTTGCAGAAATCGCTGAGCGAGAAACTACCGTGGGCGTCGTTCACAACGGCACAGAGCGAAACAGGGGAATTAGTCAGCGAAATCGAACGGCGGCGTCCGTCGACGGCGAGAGCGGAGATTGGAGAACCAGAAACGCAGGAAGGCGGCGGCGGTGGCGACGACGAAGACGACAAGGAGGTGGATGTTAGAGCTGATGATTTCATTAACAAATTCAAACAGCAGCTGAAGTTGCAGAGGCTGGAATCTCTGCTGCGTTACAGAGACATGGTGAAGGGCAAAAAATAAAAAAAGGGTCCTCCTTTGTCTTCTTCCTTTCGCCTACAATCTCTGGTTTAGTAGCTTTGTCGTTTGTATGGAACATATCCGCCATTAATGGCGGAAATAAGCTTTGTTGAATGAATAATCTCTGTTTTTTAGACGAGAATTAGTGAAATTATGGCCTTACATTTTCAATCTTCCTCCCCCCAAAATTACCCATTTATAAATCTATTAATAATATTTCCATAAATTTATTATATATTCATATTAATGATAAGATAAAAGATAAATCATGACATTTCACATTATTGTTAATTTAAATATATTAATTTTTTTTATTAAATACCATTTTTGTTTTTATATTTTCAATTATTCAAACATAGTCTCAACATATTCTCTCAAAAAAAAAATTATTAAGTTTTTATATAAAAAAAAATTGGATGCCACGTGGATATATTTCAAAATTATGATGAAATTTAATTTTGAATCAAAGCCTTTAAATTTCCTTAAAAGGAAAACTGTCTCACCATTATATATCGGAAATTAAATAAGTTGATTTTCAAACATAATAAATAATTAATTATATTATTTTAAGTTATAATTAATTTTTTTAGTTGGTTTACTTAAATTAATATTTAATAATATAAAGATAAATAAATAAATAAATAAATAAATAAATAAGGGGATGAGTCATTCATTGGAGTATAATCCAATAAAGATATATTAATTTGAGGTCTTCCTTTAAAGCTAAAATATGAGTAGGACTCCACATGGACACGATGCGTTGACCCCACCCACTGGAAGTGGCTTTAAAGTTTTTTTTTTCATTTATATATAAAGAAAATATTTAACCTTTTTCAAAAATGTTTTTTTCTTTTGCGAAATTCCAATGTTTTTTTCAAAAAAAAAAAAAAAAGAAAAGAAAATTATTTAAAATTTTCAATATTTAAACTAAATTTATGGTTAAAAATAATATTTATAAACTTAATTTAAAAAATAAAAATTAAATCGGGATCATGTAAATGAAAATTAAATTAAAGGTTTTTTTTTTTTTGGATTTTCCTTCAATTTATTTAAATCTAGTTGGTCCAATCACAATGTAAAATATAAAAAAAAAAAAAAAAAAAAAAAAATGATATATTTTTTTAATAATATAATGCCACCTCATATTAAAATATTGGAATGTTGGTCTTGTCTCTATGTAAACGTCCGTACGTGTACAGTCATATTCCACGTTTCTTATGTATATAGATTCGTCATTTTTTTGACGATCGAATTTATTTTCTTTTTAAAAGTCTGATTATTTATTTATTACTATATATTTGTTTTTATTAATCAAGTGAAAGAGCTCTTTTTCTCTATCATGCTTAATTTTTAAAAATATGCATGGTCGTTACTAAATATAACTCAAATAAGATAATTAATTATTGCGTCAATATTTTAAAGTAAATTAAAATTTTATAATTTCTTTCCATTTTCTCCTCCTCTTATCTTATTTTAACATTATAAGATTTTGGTTTAAATAAAGTAAAAAAGAAAATCTGAAATTAATTCATCTCTAAATATCCATTAAATTAAATTATAAATCTGTGAAAATATTTAACTGTTCAATAAAAATATATTTTTTTTTAAAGTTAGGAGTATTATTTAAACATTTGAAATTAATATATATATATATATATATATATATATATATATATATATATATAAAGTTTAAATTATTTTATTAATTTAATTTTAAAATTAAAAAAATTAAAAAAAAAATGCGAAAAGTGGACTTCCCATGCATGTTAATGACCACTTTGGGCAAAAATAAAACAAAGGTGCTTTTAAAAAGACACACTCACTGTGTTCATTCAAATTCGATTCATGTTGGGGGACATTATTGTTTTTTTATTTTATTTTTTTCTTATTTGTTTTGTTATGCTTGAATGAATTAAATGACCCACAATTAGGAGTATATATATATATATTCTTACAACTGATTTAAATGAATGTTGCCAAGCCGCTAAAGTAACTAAAGTGTGATAAACTCCGAGAGTAAAATGGGTCCTATGGAAAGTCCATCAACTCTCAATCTCCAGTCAAAATTTTAAAAAGGGATCCATTTATAATCCGTAGTTGTTCGTTGGATTAATGGATCATCTAATTCGAAATGATAACCAAATGCATAGGTTGTTTTAAGGAGCTCGAGTATACCGATAGATACATATTGTATACCATCTCATTACTTTATTTCCTCTACGACAGTAATAAACCTGCAAATATTGGAAAAACTACCACTTCGTAGTAAAAACAAGATACACTTGGACCAAAAAAACTCATATTCGAAATATATATATATATATATATATATATATATATATATATATATATATATATATATATATGTATATTTATTTTCGAGCACGAGTTTTTGTTGGTAAAAAATAAATCACATGGATTCAAGGGGGCTTTTTGAGAACGTATCAATAAGCTAAATCCATGCTTCGATTTATTTCATGCTATAAATAAACACGAACACTCAAAAAAATCCTGGTTTAAATTGACTATTGATTTAAAAAATATTTAAAGGTATTTTACCTTTTTAAATTTTTTAAAAAGATGTTTTTTCAAGTGAGAATATTAATAAATTCTTTTAAAATCGAAGGATTTTAATGAAATTTCACATCTATTTAAAAAAAATTATTAAATTTACTGTAAAGATATTTAAAATTTAATAACAATTTTAATTTTTTTTTTACAGTTTAATTATTATTGACATGTTTAAGAGTATTTTTTTAATAATTTATAAAGTTATCTGTAACCTTTGACTTTAAAAAATTATTTAACAAATGATTTTTTTAGTTTATTTTATAATATATATTTTTATATTTTTCTTTTTGCCGCGACTGAGAATCTTACGCGTCAAATGGCAGTGCATTTCCTACCTACGTGTCTATATGACGTGGCTAGTTATTATATGGGCAGGAAGCCCTTAAACTGTAGGGCATTATCGACTTTGTCCAATTATTTAAAAAATTTTAATTGGTAAACTTTAAAAAAACGTTATTTTCTTTTTTCTTTTTATATTTTGGATAATGAGCGAAATTGAAGCAAACACAATAATTTATAAATATTAATTATATAAAAAAACTTATGGAAACAAATAATTTACAATTTTCCTCCTTTGATTTATTATTAGAAAATACAACTAGAAACCAATTATATAATAAATAAATTAAAAATAAAGCAGCAA